ATTAGTTAAAAATAAAAATGGAAGCCCAAACAAAACACTAGTGATTTGTGACAGTCCCAGTGTGTTGCTCATAGGACCACTGAGTCAGCTCTACGGCACATGACAAAACAACAAGAGTCCATTTCTAAAAGTGTGTCTTTAATTGAATTGCTTCTTCTCCTCTAAAAGCTGTACTTGACCTTAACAAGTTTTACAGAAATGACAGCTGTGGGTATTTACTGTGTACCACTGTGCCAGCCTCTTATAACAAATGAAAGAACCCAAAGGTCCTCCTTTTAGAAGCTCACATTCTAATGGGGGTAGTAGAAGCAGCAGTTAAGGAAACAAAAACAATTACAGAGTGTGAGGTGAGACTTCAGTGTGGATTAAGAGTGGACTAGAGAAGCAGCTGAAGATACAGCTCCAGCTGTGACAGAACACACGTGAAAAAGCTTGACTGGCAACATAACAACTGAGCCGAGTCTTAACATAAGACTATAATTTTACCAGGCAAAGAAGAAAGAAAAGCGATTCCCAGCTCAAAAAGACAAAACATCACTAACGTATACCCATCAAAAAGCATGACCTAAATCTAACGAGGAGCCCAAATGGAGGGACTTTTGACAAAATAATTAACCAGTAATCTTTCAAAAACATCAATGTCACAAAGGACAAGGAAAGGCTGAGAACTTGCTCCAAATTAAAAGAGATCAAAGAGGAGTTGTTGTTGTTGGCATGTTGTCACCTGAGCCAGTTCTGACCCACAGTGGCCCTGTCATGAAACCCTTCCCCGTCCTCCCAATTTCTGCTGCAATTAAGCCACTGTTGTGGTCCTTGTGTCATTCTATCTCCTTGAGGGTCTTCTCCTTTACTGCCACTCTACTTTTCCAATATCACACACAGAGGCAAAATCCTATTGAAGATTATCCAAATATGACTGGAACAGTACATCGACAGAGAACTACCAGAAATATAAGCTGGGTTCAGAAGAGGTCATGACACCAGGGACACTATCACCAATGCCAGATGGGTCTTGGCCAAAGCAAAGATGACCAAGAGATATCTGTGTTTCATTGACTATACAAAGGCATTTGATTGTGTAGACCACAACAAATTGTGGCTAACCTTGTAAAGAAAGGAAATTCAGAACACTTAATTGTGCTTATGAGAAACCTATACTTGGATCAGAAATTATTATCTCCAGTGCTAGGACTGGAGGCCTGGCAGAATGGGTGCTGATGGAACTCCAGGGGGAGATCGAGGCTCGCTACAGCACCGGATTAGCTGGAAACCTCCTGGGAGATCTACATTATACCACTGAGGGGGTTCCTGTGCTGATTGTGGGACATGATATTCT